TTATCGCGTGCTATTGCTTGAGTATCCCCAATATGCGGGACGTTCGGGCGATCTCGGTGAAAAGGCCTTTATGCAAGATGGAGTCGAAAGTGTAAGCCTCATTGCCCAGCAGTTTCCTGAACCCTTGATCCTCATCGGCGAGTCTTTAGGGGCGGCGGTCGCATCTGCGACATACGCTCACTTAGACTCACCGTTACAAGCTCGAGTCAGTGGCGTGATGTTGGTGACACCTTGGGATACGTTGGCGGCAATTGCTAAACAACATATCCCTGGGTTTGTAGTTGATATTATGACATTTTTTGGGGGGGATCGCTACCATACCATCGACAATTTAAGTCAATTTCAAGGTAATCTTGCCGTGATTGCTGCTCAAAATGATACCATCATCCCTACATCTCATAGTGAAAATTTATGGGTTCAGGTTAATTCGCCACGTAAACGTTGGTGGCTCATCAAATCTGCTACGCATAACGATTGGAACTCATACGTCAATGGTGCTTGGTGGCAGCAAGTTATGAGTTTTCTCATGAGCCAAGCACAACCGAATGGGGAAACTCCCTTGGTGGATCAATAAAGTTATACCAATCAATATAATAAAACGCGGCACACCAAACATTTTACCCCAATATCGGACTTTAGCCATGAATGCACCTGAACTTTTGGCAAGTAATCATGAATGAGGGCTTCATGGGCGCAGCTTGTGAGTTTGGTTTCCGAAAGCGCATCAAAAAGCTCTAAAACACGTTGAGTCCGAAGACCATCTCTGGCGCAGAATCAATTGGCTACAAGTTTTACAGGTGGCTCAATATGCGTTTAAACGATCCGCAGGGACGGCTATGATTAAACGGCTGTTGGCACGGGTTTTGTCGTTTGTTGGTAAAATGTGATATCGCCCACAAGAGGAAAAGGAAATGGTGCGCCAGTTGCACTGTTTTAAACGATGAGTTCATATGATCAAACATTAATGAGTTATGCTGTCCGTGACGATAATAGTTTAGGACGGCAGTTTCCCGAAGATTTGCCCACGACGCGGACACAGTTTCAGCGTGATCGTGACCGCATTATTCATTCGTCGGCGTTTCGGCGTTTAGAGTACAAAACACAAGTTTTTGTGAATCACGAAGGGGATTGGTTTCGCACGCGCTTAACTCACAGCCTCGAAGTCGCCCAAATTAGCCGCACCTTGGCACGTAATCTGGGCCTTAATGAGGACTTAATGGAGGCAATAGCTTTGTCTCACGATCTGGGGCATACCCCTTTTGGGCACGCGGGACAAGATGCACTACACGATTGTATGCGGGATTTTGGGGGGTTTGAACATAATCTGCAAAGTTTGCGGGTGGTGGATCAGTTAGAGGAACGATATGCGGCATTTGATGGCTTAAATTTAATGTACGAAACGCGCGAAGGTATTTTAAAACACTGTTCGCGGACAAATGCCGAGCAGCTGGGGCAACTGGGTCAACGTTTTATTACCCCACAACGCCCCAGCTTAGAAGCCCAAGTGGTGAATTTGGCTGATGAAATTGCGTACAATAATCATGATATTGATGATGGCCTGCGTTCTGGCTTAATCAATCTGCAACAGTTGTCCCATGTGGAAATTTGGCAAAGCCACCGAGAACTGGTCTTGCAACAATACCCCCTCTTAACCGAACGTCGTCAGATCCACGAGACGATCCGTCGTATGATTAATACGTTAGTCATGGATTTGTTACAACAAACACGCGCCCATCTACACAAACACCAGCCCCAAACGGTGGATGACATTCGTCGTCTGCCTACGGTCACCATGTTTAGTGATTCTATTCAAGCTCAAAATCAATCCCTTAAAAAGTTTTTATTCGCAAATTTGTATCATCATGATAAAGTGGAAGCGATGAACCATAAAGCCAAAAGGATCGTCACGCGCCTATTTGATTTGTTTGTGGCGCACCCAGAACTATTACCGAGCAAATACCAAATCCCATCAAAGGAAAAAACGTTTTCGCAACAAATGGCGCAAGCACGTCAAATCGCGGATCATATCGCGAGTATGACCGATCGGTTTGCGATTCGCGAATATCGTCGCCACTTCGTGGTGGAATCGATATAGGAAAACAACCACGCTCTGAGTCAATATGAGCCAATAGAGCGGACTTGGAAAGGAATCAATGGGGTTGACTCTGTTGGTTTTTGTGTAAGCATATGATATGTCGATATTTTTATCTTTCCGTGCTTCAGCAGCATGACAAGGTAACCTCGCTACAACATCTTCAACCAACCCCAAATACGCATGCCTCCAGCATCAGGGTATGCTAACACACGAGTTTATGCTTATCGAAATGGTGGTGGTGAAGTGATTGCGCTCACTTCCATATCCAACAGTAGTACTGGTGGTCCTAAAACAGCATATACCAACAATGTCTTTAGCCTTAATGCAGGGGATACCATTGATGTCCGCAATTGGTTAACCAGCAATAACTTGTTTTGTGGTAAAGGATATACGTATTTTCGTGTTGAGAGCTTGTAATTGCAATTCCCGATCAAACGAGTCATTTGTCACGCCTCCTTGCCTTACTACTTGTCATGTCTTCGTCGCCGTTTCGCTTGCACATTTGAACCGAAAATGAAATAACTGGGGCGCGCCTCAAAAGCCAAGCGCCATCACTATCTCGCCATAAACGGCTTATTTTTGTACCAAAAAGCCATTTTTTTTGCCTAACTGTATAATCGAGCTAGTAATCGCCCCTCCTAAATCATCTTTTTTGTTGGCCACTTGTAATTTAGACTGTTCATCGATAAAGGTTAATAATAACGGGGTCGGAGGAAGTTAATTTGTAATTATCTAAAACAATCCTGCCGTGCTTAAACAACTCTGACCCTGTAATTTGCTCTGACCCTGTAGTTTCGTAAAATCAATCCTAAATTACGGGGTCGGAGTGAGTTAATTCATGGGTTAACTCACTCTGATAATCGGAAATCTATGGGGTCACCCATTAGCGTTTCCATGTCAATAGGCCGAACAAAACCCTGGCGGCTTGCCGCCACATTTTTACAACACTTCTACCTCATCAACCCCTTTCATTCGCGCCCGTTTCTTCAATCATTTGTGCTAATTTATTGTTTCTATTACTCATAAAAACAAATCGCAACAGTCACCCATCAGGTTCAAGCAGTCTGACAATGTCCAGTCCTACCCCTCGCCCGCGCTCCTTATTAAGCGCCGGAGGGCGAGGGGTAGGACGGGTTAGCACCTCGTCATTTGCCCTGTCTGCTATGCAGACCCAGAAAAACGTTGGTTCCAACGAGCGTCCAGTCGTATTTGTACAGACTCACGGTGACGAAATTTCGCACCAACCCCTTAGTGGCTCACGCGTTAGGCGATTCAAAGTCAAGTCAATTTGGTTGGCGATCCATTGCGTTTTAATCAGACTCGATGGTTTTTAACCAGACCCCAGTTCCAAACTCGCAACGATCACCAATTCTTTATGCAAAACATCGTTCTACATCAAATTCTTCTCCTGTCGATAATAAATGATAACTCGCTCTTGCCAATTTGTGGGCAAGTGCTTTTGTCGCAATCATACCATTGCGTTTAGCTTTTTTGCGTTCATAAAACTTCTGTGCCTGTGGGCTCCACCGTTTGGCAAAGGTAGCAAGCTTCCATAAATGCCCATGCTAAGTATTTGTTACCATTTCGTTTGTTACCCCTGTCTTTGAGTTTGTCGTTGCTCGTATGCGTGCTATCAACACATCGACAGTATGAAGCATAGTTGCCAACTTTGGCAAACCGCCCAATATCACCCGTTTCCAAAACAATGGTCATGGCTAAAATATCGCCGATCCCGGGTATCGTTTTGAGAACACGAAACCGTTCATCTTGCTTTAAATAACTTAAAATCCTCGCCTCAAGCGTTTCAATCTGTTGATTAATCACATGAATTACCGCCAAATTACTCTGAATGGCTAACGCTACATCCTCATCTAGACCCCAAGTCATCACGGCTTCTAGTGGTAAGCGTTTGATTTGCGCAGAACTCGCTTTACGCAAATTTTGCCTTGATTGCAAGTTATCTACTGCCAACAAGTGTTGCGTGCGTGAACGCACCAGTTGACTACGTTTACGCGTCAAGTCCCTCACCACTCTTTTTTCTTTGGGCATGATATGCCCAGTTCGTAATAAATCTAACCGCAACAAATGCGCCAAGTGACGAGCATCACTTTTATCATCCCGATGTTTTAAACTTCAATACTGCGCAATCGCGGCAGTATTGGCTAAAAATACTGGATAATGAAGCTCTTGCAAACCATCAACCAACCAATACCAATTATAAGTTGACTCAACAACAACGCCTTTTAATTCAGAAGCATACGGAAATAATGCTTCATGAATGCTTTGCAAATCATTGGGTAACCGCTTCTCAAAAACTACGCGATCCTCTTCGTCTATCACCGTGAGAACGGAATTATTCGAATGTAAGTCAATTGTGCTATCCTTCATATTGTCTCCAGCTGGCTAAAGTTCAAATACAAGTTCGAACCTAAGCCTGACAAGCACTTGTGCGTCAGGAGGCAACCCCACCTCCGCTGTCGCTACCTCGTGCGGGAAACGCTATATGATTATCAGACTCCATTGATTACCATTGATGATTCACGAGAGAAAGCTAAATTAAATCACGTTAAGCCAACGCAATTTAATGCAATTTGACGAGTAAAGCCCACAGAGGTATTAGGTTATGAGGTAAACCCTAATAGCTTCATATTTCTCTATGGTGAGACAATAAACATTGTAGGTCGTCTCTGTTGCAACAACTGAATTTAGGCTGGTTTTCGAAAAAAGACCATATTGATTTCAAAGAATGAACTTCGTTAATTTTTCAAAAAAATAATTTTTGCAACCGCGTCCAAATGATTGTACTTCTATTGCTGATTAACGTAACTAGTCTAGGAAATCCATGAGAAAAAATATTTTGAGCACACTCGTGTTGAGTTTGATGTTGATGTCTGCAAATCACAGCTATGCCCAAGAAAGTAACCCTCATGATTCGGTGCCTTGGTGGAAAAATCAAGTGGTGTACCAAATTTACCCTCGCTCCTATCAAGACAGCAATGGTGATGGTGTGGGAGATCTCAAAGGCATTATTTCACGTTTGGATCACATTAAAAGCTTAGGTGTTGATGTGATTTGGATTGCGCCATTTTTTAAGACGCCCAGTTTTGATACGGGATATGACATTACAGATTATCAATCGGTCGATCCGTTATTTGGCACGATGGCAGATTTTGAGCAGTTGGTTCAAGAAATCCACAAGCGAGATATGAAAATCATGCTCGATATGGTTTTTTCTTATACCTCTCCTCAGCACCCTTGGTTTCTAGAGTCTCAAAAATCAACGACCAACCCTAAGGCCAATTGGTATTTATGGCGTGATGGTCGTGGTAAGGCAGCACCCAATAACTGGATTAATGCTTCTACATTTGAACTGGCATGGAAATACTTTCCAGAAAGACAACAATGGGCATATGGAGGCTTCACTAAGGAGATGCCTCATTTGAACTTGAGAAATCCAAGTGTTATCGATGAGCACCACAAAACTTTAAAATTTTGGCTTGACAAAAAAGTCGATGCATTTCGTTTTGATTTAGCCTTTCAAACGGTGATTAACGACTCCTTTGAGGATATGACGATCATCGATAGTATGGGAATCGACGATGTTAAATTACCTTCTTTTCTTAAGCCACTGTTAAAAATAGTCGGTTTATATACGGGCAAATCACAAGTTGATAAAGCTGGACAAATTAAGTATTGGCAGGATATGCGTCAGTGGTTTGAACAAAATAGTCCGCAAACCTTTTTATTGGGCGAAATCGGTTATGTTCAAGCGCCCAATCAAGCCGATGGTTTACATGTTTCCTATAATACGCAGTTTAATGCTTTGTTAAAGGATTGGAAAGCTAGCGATTTTATTGAAACTATTCAAGAAAACGAGCGCTTATATCCCTATCCCAAATATCAACCAACTTATTTAGCAAGTAATCACGATTATGTTCGTTCGGGAACTCGATTAAAGGGACGAATGGATAGAGCCAAGGTTTTAGCTTTATTGCAAGGCACACTTCGAGGAACACCGATGATTTACCAAGGTGAAGAGATAGGCATGGTCAACGGTACCATCCCAGATTATGAAGCTTTTGATTTTATTCCTTATACGCTGACCTCGGTTTTAACAAAACTTGCGGCACTCGTTAATCTCGATCTCCCTTTTGCAGCCAACCGTGATAATGTCCGCACGCCCATGCAGTGGAGTGGTGCTCAGCATGCTGGCTTTTCGTCTACCCTCAAAAAAACCTGGGTAAAAATTAACGCTGATTATGCTCAGGTTAATGTTGAAAAAGAACTGCAAGAGCCTGATTCGGTCTTGACAACATATCAAAAAATCTTCGCACTACGCAAGGCATCAAAGCCTTTGCAGTTTGGCTCAATCACACTTTTAAAGCAAATGCCCCAAAATGTGGTGGGGTTTGAGCGTCAATGGAACCTAGAAAAGGCGGTGGTCTTGGTCAATATGGGCGACTCAGCCACTCGTGTTTCGGTGACGCCATACACGACCCAACAAGTTAAGCTTGGTTTAAATCAAGCCCAGCTTGTCAATGGTGTAGCTGAGCTACCCCCACAAGGCGCTTTAGTGTTGGGGCAATAAAAAACACAGACCATTCCAAATTTTTATTACGGGCCGCGCTTTTTGATTATCAAAGCAAATTTTCATGGAGGGGATTTGTTTAATTTATTGATTTTATTTTAATATTTCACATAATGAAAAGTCTGAGATTATTCCTTTTCTAAGTCAAAGGTGTAAGCGAAACGATAATAGCCCCTTATAATAGCTCCAGGGGACTCCTAAAAATCCCTTTCCTGCGGAAAAAGATTCATTAAAAGTATTTTGGAATCGATGGGGTCACCCATTAGCGTTTCCATGTCAATAGGCCGAACAAAACCCTGGCGGCTTGCCGCCACATTTTTACAACACTTTCACCTCATCAACCCCTTTCATTCGCGCCCGCTTCTTCAATCATTTGTGCTAATTTATTGTTTTTATTACTCATAAAAACAAATCGCAACAGTCACCCATCAGGTTCAAGCAGTCTGACAATGTCCAGTCCTACCCCTCGCCCGCGTGCCTTTAAGCGCCAAAGGGCGAGGGGCAAGACGGGTTAGACCCC